CTAGCAGAGCTGGACTCCAATCGAGTAGCTGCACTTTTAGTGAAAAAGTTCTCAAGGTCTCAGAGACGATAAATAAGAGAAATCCTTGGCAAATGGTAGCAGTTGGAGAAAGCTGGGATAATTTTGTTTCTAAAATTTCTCCTCTTCTCTCACTGTGGTTCTTTCCATCTCTGTTTTAGGGCTACTGAGGCACTAGCTGGGTTATTTCTTTTCTTCTTAGAGTTTATGATTTCGAGCAATTAGGAATATGTCAGATGTTAAGGATGACTTTGAGCTAAGAGTGGTATACTTGGCTTATCAATTTAGCTAAATTTAGTGGATTTCTTCTGCTTTATGTGGTCTTGTGATATAAAAGCACGTTTAACTTTGGGCAGACAAATCCCTTAAGGTGATGCCCACATGGCTTCTGATTTTCATGCTCGTGCAGATGGTGTTAGGCAAAGCTTGAATGTGGTGTTACACCCTTCCCTGCCCTTTGAAGAAATCTTAGGACAGATGTGTTCTCAGTTGCGTGGGATCTGTACCACATCATGAGATATCAGCCACATGCAGCATGTCGGCCCTGTGCAGCTGGAGACCCCCTTGCTGCCTCAGGTCCCCTTCAACTTGGCCCCACAGTCCTGTGGGGATGATGACCAGTGAAATGTGGAGAACAAGAGTCTATAACACCCTCACTGTGAAGAAGTGCCTGGTAGGGTCTTAATCACATCATTTAAGGTGTTTTGTTTCTTTAATACTTTAAGATGAATGATAGTCCATAGTGGATGCACCGTTTACTGGACACTTACTGGGCTCCAGGCACTGTGATAAGAACTTGACCTACACACTCTCTCTCATTTCATTTCTACATCTGAAGTAGCTAAATATTACCATCTCTGTCCTGGTGGTGAGTGACCTGGACTCTGAGAAGTGTGTTTATGCTTCCCAAGCAAGTAGGAGGTGTGCTGGACGCAAAAGTAGTGAAGTTCTGCCCTAATGTCCTGCTGTTGGTGACAGGCATTTTAGCCAGTAGCTTTTGGTCACAGTTACCTATGCCTCTCAAAATATTCCAGAAAAGGTACAATGTGGGAGCTACCAAATGATTTATTCTATGATGCTCTGGAGAAGGCTACTTTAATTTAAGGCAAGGTTTCTTTAAATAACAAACTGCTGGCACCTTCAGAAGAAGTTTCTATTTAATTGGAAGGGTATTATCCATGGTTTTTTTTTTTTTTTTTCTTTATTGATTTTAGAGAGAGAGAAAGGAGAGGGAGATAGAAACATCCATGAGAGAGAACATCGATTGGCCACCTCCTGCCTGCCCCTCACTGGGGATCGGGCCACAACCTGGGCATGTATCCTGACCCAGAATCAAACAGGTGACCTCTTGGTGCATGGGTCAACACTCAACCACTGAGCCACACCGGCCAGACCTTATCCATGGTTAAAATCAGCAGTTTAGGTAGTGAACTATTCTACACAGAGACATGTTCTGCCCCAGGGTTCTGCAGGCAACAGGCAGTGGACGGTTCCATCACTGCTCTCACTGAGCTGGAGCTCAGGCAAGACCGTGTTTGAGGGCTGAGCGTCGCTCATTGCTTTAGGTGCATTATCTCCTTCAGTCCTCACAACAGCCCTTTCGCTGGGCATTACTGCAGAGAGGAAACTGAGGTACAGAGGGATTAAGGCACCCCATGGCCAAATGACTGGTAAATGACAGAACCAGGATCAATCATTTCCTTGTCACCACTGTGTTACTGCCTCCCCTAAATGTAGTGTTTTGTCTCATAAATCCTAGTGCATCTCAACCTCAAACATGGACTTGCCTGACTTCCCATCATCCGTTTAGAAAGATCCCTTGCACTGAGGAGGCGACAGAACAGAGGGCTGTGATTGGCCCTGGGTGGCCTGTGGGTTTGTCTGAGTTATGCTGTGGAGACAGAGATACTTAGTTAAGTCTCATGATTGCTCCTGTCTGAAATTGGATAGTGGTTCTTGTCCGTTGTCTACCACTGAGGGGAGTTTTGAGGGGGAGAGGGAGCCTCCAGGAGATAAAGAGGGATTAACTAGACTTATACTTTACATCAACACACCTGTAGAGGGATTTGTACATCTACAAGGGATTATGGCTTTTTAACCAGGTTTATAATTATGGTATTATGAGGATTCATGTATTACATGGAACTTCTGAACCTTTAAAAATAGGACAATGAGAAGAATACAGTTGTTTGCTGGAGATAAATTGAGTGTAATGGGAATTGAAAATTATGGGAATACATTGTTGTATTTTATAGTCTTAAGTAGGAAAAAAAAGCTTTATATATAAATATAACCCAATAAAAATAAGTCAGTGGACTGGTTAAGAATATTATAGTCTAGAATATTCTAACCATAGAAATAGCCCATCTGGACAAGTATGCCCTCTTTGTTCTTATTCAAATACTCTTTTCATCAGTTCTCTTATTGGTCAGGAAGGAATTTACCTGTCTCTTGAAGTCGTTCTTTGTCTTTGTTACACTAGCTTTGAGCTTCCTGCTTCTGTTACTTCTGCCGTAGGTCTTAAACAGTACATGACATTGTAAATCTTCATTAATGTGATTACAGGATCTATTGTTCTGCTTTCAAATGGGATGGAATGCTTGAGAAGGTGGAAAATAAAAAGCAGCACTGTATTACTGTTCTCCTTTGGTCACGAGTAACAAATTCACTTGAGCTAGCTTAAGTAAAAAGAATTATAATAAGGATACAGGCGTGTCTTAGGAACCCAAAGGCAATGATGAAGTCCCTAGGGACTAAACAGGACCCGGAGGTCAGGAAGGGACTTCTCTAATCAGCGTTCACCATGGCACACGTGTGACACAGACCTTACTAAAGTAAGAGAGAAGCTGACAGAGAAGGAAAGTAGAAATCTATGCAGTTTATCACTTTACATTTGAACATGAGTTTTAAAAATAATTCATGCTCATTACATGAAATTCTAACAGTATAAACAAAGTAAAAAATTCTCTACAATTCTTATCATCAGGGGTAATCATAACTATTTTGATACACATTTTTTAAGGACATCCAGGAAAACACACACATGCATTCATGCATGCACACACACATACACTTACACACACGCACACACACAAATGGAATCAAATGTTTATGGTTGTTTACCTGTTTTATTCACTCAGAAGTTTGTCAGAGATGGCTCTTTATAACAATAAATACAGACCTCCATGAACATCAGTGTCCATGTCGCTTATTTAACACGTCATTTGTGGACCTTTAGGGCATTTGTCTATTTTTTCTCATAATTATAAACAATGCTATGTATATCCATCTTTCTGCTTACACAATGGTCTACTTTAACTTATTTAGAAATAGGATTGCTGGATCAAAGAGTATGCCATTTTACATGCTGACATATTGCTTAACCATGTGATAAGATATGTCCATAACATTGGCGAGTGTCAGTCTTGGGTAAATGTGTCAACTTGACAGGTGATAAATAAGATCTCAATGTTCTAAAGTTATTTAATTATTTATTTATTTTTTATCCTCACCCGAGGACATTTTTCTATTTTTTGTACAGATAGAGCGGGAGGGAGAGAGAGGAAAAGAGAGAGAGAGAGAGAGAAACATCGATGTGAAAGGGACACATCGAGTGGCTGCCACCTGCACAACCAACCAGGGCCGGGGACAAACTGCAACCGAGGTACATGCCCTTAGCGGGAACCGATCCCGGGTCTCTCCGGACCGCAGGCCAACGCTCTAACCGCTGAGCCAAACTGGCCAGGGCAAGTTATTTCATTATTAGTACAGTTGAGTAAACTTTCTTATGGAAAGTTTATTAATTTTATTTGTTTTGAGGAGAGTATTAACTTACTGGTTTTTAAAACATTTTTGGATAAGAATAGCAACCTTTTATACTTTTCTTGTATAACTATTTCACCTAGTTTCTTATTTTATCTTTTGATCAAAATATCGGTGTTTATTCTTTGTTTTTACTTTTGATTTTTTTTTGCCATTTATATATTTGAGATTAAAAAAAAAAATGTAGCCAGCCAAATGTCTCAATCCTTTATAGATTCAGATTTTGATATCATCATGTCATGTTTAAAAACTAAGGCCTTTTCTATTCCTATATATAAAACTATTCTCTGTATATTCTTCTAGTACTCACTTGATTCTATTTTGAATTTATGTTTATCATAAGTAGAAAGCAAGATCTAGATTTTCCTTCCTCCTAAATAACAAACCAACACCATTAATTAACTAGTCTCACATACCTACCAACCCACATCTGAATACATGTGGTTGGTCTGTTTCATAGGATATTTGGTTCTATATCTGGATGTTTATTCTGTTTCATTGATTCATATGTATGCTCTCCCTCAGACTTTTTGCTTATTAGTTGCTGGCTGGCTCATTTTGTTGATTTCTACAATTGATCATGGTGCTTCTCACTTCAAATTGGTTTCCATGGAGTAAGGTGTTAAATGGTCAGCTTTTAATGCCTCAGAGAACTGGGAATGAAGTGGGAACAGTCAAAGCAAGAAAGGGCCCCTTCACAGATGTGTTAAAGGAACTAAGTAGGAAAAAAGGGAACGAGAAGAGCTCATGTGGGTTAATTTGCAGTGCCTGAGATTTTTGTTTTAAACACTGGTGGGGGTGGGAGGAGGGTGTATATATCTGGTCTTTGTTTAAATTCAAAGCCATTAAGCATTTCTACCACAGGGAAGAAAATAATGTGTTTTGCCTCTTTGCCAACAGTAACATAATTTTGGTCTTTGAAATAAGTGTCTTGGGACCTCAGTTCCCTGTTGGTGAAGAAAATTCCCAGCCCATGTGTTGCAACGGAAATTCATTGTTTCCTGAGTTATTTCCTTTCATGATTAGTGAAGGAGAAATGACCAAATGTATAGATTCAGGATCCCCCCTGCCCCCAAAACTGACATCTGTAACCTTATTTGATTCTGATGGTTTTTATTATTATTTTAGTTGTTGCTGCTGAAGGCTTCTCAGATGCTTCAGGATATCTTCAGGGAAATTGACTCTCCATAAGCTGAGAATTTAGGTGAGTCCTTTTAAAAAGATACAGTATTTCATTCTTATCAGTGGGCCATTCCTGCATTGGTAAAGTTTTATAAAGTGTTAAAACATTGTCACTTGCACTGTCTCGTTTGATTTTTACCGCGGTTCTGTGAGGCAGGAGTCTGCTTGCCCCCTCTTATTACTTCCGTCTCAATTTAATACTCCACCTGGTAGTTGGTGGGGTGATGGTGGGGTTTATAAGAGGGGTGAATAGCTGGTTTTTAACTTGATTGCATGAATTCTCTTTCATTTACATATGTTTGCTTCATAAACCTTCTTCTTCTTCTTTTTTTTTTTTTTTGTTAAGTGCTAGTTAAGGAAATAATGTAGAAACTTTCAATAGTCTTTATACTGAAACTGCTTGGCAGTTCCGGGAGCTGTCCAGGGATGGTGCACAATTGCTCTAGCATGAGATAAAATAAACTTTGGTTTTAGATGATTGATTTTTCCCTTTGTCCTAGTTGTGGTTACATGATCTCAAGCAGTATGCATGAAATAACGTGGACAGGGAAAAAAGCCTTCTTCTGTAGGTCTTGGGCATGCCGCAACTGAAGTCTGCCAGGTGTAAAAGGGTTGGCTTTGACTCTCCACACCTGGTTCGCAGCACACCAGATGTGGACTTGACCAGCTGCACAAGGGGACAGACTAGTTAATCGCTGCTGATCTCCACGTCCTTATTGTAAAATGTACAGGCTGGCCCAGCCTAGTTGTTTCCACACTTCAGATTTTGTAGAACAGGAAAAAAGTTCAGCATCAAATTTTACTCTACCGGTGTGTGTGTGTGTTGCTATTTATAAACATAGTGATAATTGTTAAAGCTGAGTGAGTACATTAAGGTTTACTATATATTCCCATACTGTTCTGTTTTGTGTTTAAAATCTTTCATAATTAAAGATTTATTTTTAAAAATAAGGACCTTCTACTAACATCATTTTATGAGAGAAGAAATATTTTAATACTGAAAAAGTCGGATGCCATAACTTTGCTTTGGGTTGTGTATTTAGCATTATGAAAACACTCTTCTTTTCCTGCCTTTCTCGTTTCTCTGCTGCCCAGTGACTGTCATGAACTGGCCTGAGCTCCGGTGTTTGGGAAATATTGGGTGTGTGACTGCTAAGGGCTCTTCTGCCTCGAACACTACACTATGTCCCTGCCATGGAAAGAAACGTATTCTAGTTCTATATCAGCCATTCCCAGAAAATGTCCTGGCTGCCAGCATGCTGGAACGAGGGGACGTCAGAGGTCAAACAGAAGACAAGGGCTTGTTCTGTTGGGAAACCCAAATAGAAATGGCTCATTCATGTGAACATGAAACGTAGCTGTGAGCCACCTTGCAGTCAATGTAAAAATGAAAACTGACAGTGTTTAAGCTGTCTGATGAAAGTATACAGAATCTTCCCTTTACACCATTGTAGGCAGCCTCTGATGAGGTGGTATTTCATGTAATAGTGTCTCCTGAGGTGTGGGGATGTTGAGAGCTCGGGGTGAGGTGGGCCGAATGTCTATCTCCAGGGAGACCAACCCAAAACCAAGTGCAAGGAGCACAAGGCTGGGGTGTAGGGGTCGAGGGCACAGGCAAGAGTTCTGAGGGCCATAGGATTAGTTGTGCACGGGGTAGGGCTGAGTCAAGGAGCTGACCTGCACTGGGATCCTGGAGTGGATGATGTATTTTGAGAACCTGCAGAGGGCGGTAGGTGGTCTGGTGTGGCTGAAGGGCCAGAGCACAGTGAGTAGGAAACACATCAGACATGTGCCTTTCCCAAGTTTTCAGATCTGAAAGGAGCATGCCAGGTGGATTTCTGTGCAGTGGGTCTGTACAGAACGGAAAACTGGCCTTCTTCACTTCTCCCAGGGTGTGGGGGTGTGGGTGAGGGGTAGGTAGGGGTTGGAGGACAGGGGCAGCCAAATGGGCTGAATTACTGGCACAGTAAAATAATGTGAGGGAAGAGCAACCAACCCCTATTCCCAATGCCTGCCTAACCCTGGCTGCTTCTGACAGTTCTGTGACGTTACACCGGGGTCTGCATTGATTGGGGCAGAGTGGTTCTGTCCTTTAAAATTCACCTCTGGACAATTTCTGGCTTTTGTTTGTTTTGCATGCCTATTTTCTGGGAACTCAAATGAAATTTGATAGACTTACCTGGTTGTTTCCCCTCTGTCTTCCAACTCTGGGTTTACTGTCCAATTGATATGCTTCAGTTGGGTGGCTTCCACCCTGGGGATATTTATTTCACTGCCCCCCCCCCCCTTTTTGGGAAGAAGTTATACCAAACAACAACAGAAACATTTGTCTTAAAAATATAGGAATATGAGAGATTACCTGAAGTCTTGACATTTCTGAAAGTGTCTAAGGACATGAATAAATGCTAGCAGGGGCTTTTATTTTGACATAAACCAGAGGAAGGAGAATTGCTTTAAGGGATTTGGACCAGTCCAAGTATGAGTAAAATTTAATGAATGAACAGTGTAATCAATCAGTCATATTCTGAGCCTTTCGGAAGGCCAGGCCATGCTGGGTGAGATCTTGTGGGAATGAACAAGTAAGAATATGAGGCAGCCATGCTTCAGGGGAATAAATGTGATGCTTTAAAGGGCTGCGTGCCGGCCTGTGAGAGAGAGTGTGGGAATGAGTGGAGGGGTGGGCAGATGTATGATAAATGGTTTGTTTAGTGTTTTGCTTAATGACTTGTGGTATAGTCCAGATTTGAAAATAAGTGCAATATTCTGACCTTATCTCCATTTTCCTTGCAGGCTTGTAAGAAAAATATTTAAAAACCGATTTTAAATGAAAAACATTGTTTTTGGCTCACTGGGAATTTTCAGTTCCCACTGCTGTGTAGGGACACTATTGAATCTATAAAATTTAAAGCAGGATCTGCATAGCTATTTGTCATTCTGTATCAGTCACTTAAAGGCAGTGACGTCAGGAGAGATAAGTTGTTCCTTGCTTACTTTCCCCATTAAAAATGTAACCCGTTATGCATACTCGTCTTCCTGCCCTGCTCCACTCCCTGAATCCTTGGGATTGCTCTGCCTGTTCTGTAGGCACAGCCTCTTGTCCCCCCCTGCAGGCTCCCCGAGTAGCTGGGAGTCCTAATTAGCATTATGCTAATTAACACCTTCTCCTAGATCAGGGTTTCCAGACATGTGCTGGGGTCCCTCCTTACTCTTGCTGTCTATGCTTAGTAAATGTTTTAGAACAACGACAGTAACACTTTCCAGATTGTTTCTCATAATTAAACTTATCCGTGGGCATAATAGAATGTGTTGTTTCCTTAAGCTTTTTGGGGGTAATTATGCTTATCAGTTAATTTTTTTCAGCATTAAAAAACCCTCTTGAAGAACTCAAGATTTGAGCCTTTTCTGTCTGAGAACTGATTGGATTTCAGGGACTCACATGTTCTGGAATACTTGTGCCTGCATCTCACTGTTCTGCTGTGGAATGTGTAATAATCATGTTTTCTTGTGCTGTAAAGTCCCATATTCTGAAGACCTAGAATGAATCAAAGCCATTTTGTTCTGTTTATGACAAATCAGAATTGGACAGCTTTCCAGAACCATAAAATGGCTAGTGCACTTGTAAGAGTTTAAACATGACTTTACTAAGATTAAAATAAAGTAAACACACTGTAAGTCCAGCTGCAATGGTCTCAACACACCACTGTAAGGCCTGCTAAAACTTGTGTAAAATCCTACTGATCTAAACAATGGTTTTATCGAGGGTCTTTTATTTAAAAATTTTCAGTCCAAGTCATGTATGCAAATGGCTAAAAATAGAAAACATTACAGAACAGAAAAGCAACATGCCTTACCTTACCCCCTCCACTTAGTCCTGCTTCTCATAAGCAGCTACCCCCCCCCCCCCAGATCATCCTTTGCTGCTTCAGTGGGGATCTCCACATGTGTGTCATTCTCGCAGCTCCATTTCTCACGTTATTGGTTTTAAAGGCAGTTTCTTGGTATCGCGTTGTGATTGCCGATTAGCTCGCTGTGACCATCCCTGCCTCCCTTCCTCTCTACACTGATTCACGTTTTCAGTCCTTCCATGTGCCCCTCAGATGGCACATGCAGCCTCTCCTTGTCTCCTAGAGACACTGTTTCTTCTCTAGCACTCCCCCTTCCCATCCATCCTCTCCATTTTGGGCAGCTATACCTTTAATTTTTTATGTTCATATTGCTAATCCTTATATTCTGTTCTTTAATCTGGTAAGGGCTTCCATGATTTACCTGTAACTTGATTCTGAATGTGAAAACCCAGACACAGCATTTACTCTGTTACAGTCAGGTAGCTGCTGTTCCCATGGCAGCCAAATGGCGAGGTGGGATTACATTCCTTCCTCTCTGAGCCTCATGCCTCACACCCTGGCCCCTCCACGGACCACTTTGAATGGATTCTCCCTTCCATGTGTCACTGGCTGCCTTGAGCAAAGCCTCAATATTTCCTAGATTCTGTCTTCCCATTTTAGGTAGGAACCCACTTTTATTTTTGTAGGTCTCACTCCCACAACCCCCCACCCTCCACCTGTGGCCAGAACGTTTTGATCTCTATGTGCCACCTGCCTTTAAACAAGTGCTGGTGGCCAGGAAACGCTGTCACCTCAGACCCTGCTGTCTCTGAAGGGTCAGTAGCCTGGTCTTTGAAATTAGCCATCATTCACTGAGGCCCTGACGTGTGAGCACCTTGATACTTGAGGCCTGGTGTCTGTTGAAATCTTCACACCAGCCCCATGGAACAGATGTTGTCATTGACACTTTGTTCACTGAGATGTTGAGATCCGGATGAGAGGCCTCCAAGGCTTCCACTGGGAAGTGCTTCTTAGATCCTGGGGCGGGCTGAGGGCATGGTGCCAGCCATGGTCTCATAGACTAGAAAGGACTTCTTCTGTCTTCGGAACATCTTACCTTCCTCAGTAGACCTCCATCTTTCCCTAGAAAATGATCGCTGCTCCAGGAGAATCAGCTCCGCTCCATTCCCCGCCGCCA